TCAGACTCCCTTTCCTAGTCTCTCTACAGTGTATTCTTTCTTCCTTCAAGAAGAAGCCCAAAGAAACCTTCAATATCCTGTTTCATATCCTTCACAAACTTATACTCCCTCTGTCAATGACTCCACTGCCTTTCTTGCTAAAAATCCAACTTATAAAAAGAAATCTTCTGTTACTTGTACCCACTGTGGGTTTCAAGGTCATTCAGCTGATAAGTGTTTCCAAATCATTGGATATCCTCCTACTTGGAAAGGTCCTAAAGGGCACATAGTTGCCCCTGGCTTCAAATTACCTCAAAACATTAATAAGACTCCTCATGCTCATCTTGCTAACACTTCTCCTGATTCTCCTTCTAAAGACATTGACCTATGTGATCCATCGCTTTACAACAAATTCCTTGAGTTCATGAAGAGCCGAAATGACAAAGTTTCTGCTAATGTTGCTATGGCTGTTCCCAACAATGATCAGTCCTCTCCCAATGACTTCAAATCTATAGGTAAACATACTGCATTTATTTCTAATATCCCATCTACTATTTGGATTCTTGATACTGGTGCTTCTGATCACATGATTCATGATTATACTTTATATACTTCCACACCTAAAACTGTTTCTATTAAAGTTCAACTTCCTACTGGAACTTTTATTACTGCTACTCATATTGGTAATATTAAACTTAGCAGTAATCTTACTTTGCATAATGTTCTTTATGTTCCTCAATTTAATTTCAATCTTATTTCCATATCTAGCCTAGCATTGCATGAAAATATTTCTGTTCACTTTTCTTCTAATCATGCTACTTTGCAGGATCTTCTCACCAACAAAATGATTGGTTGTGCTGATCTACAAAATGGCCTTTATCTCTACAGTTCTAATGCATCTTCTTTTTCTGTTCATAAATCATACATTAGCAATAATGTTCAATCTGAATACTCTTGTTCTCAATCTGATATTTGGCATTACAGATTAGGCCATTTACCTTTTAATAAACTGAATGATCTTGTTGACTGCAATGTTTCACAACATTTAAATAAAAATACTCCTTGTGATATTTGCCATTTTGCTAAACAGAAAAAATTGCCTTTTTCTGCTAGTACTTCTCATGCTTCTAACCCTTTTGATCTTATTCACATGGATGTTTGGAGTCCTTTTAGAGTTCAATCTTATTCTGGTTTTAAATATTTCTTAACTATTGTTGATGATCATACTAGATGTACTTGGGTTTTCATGATGAAAAATAAATCAGAAGTTAAATTTCATATGCTAAATTTTATAACCTTATCCTTTCATTTTAATACTAAAATTAAAACTATTAGAACTGATAATGGCACTGAATTTATTTTCCCTACTTTTTACTCTAATAATGGTATTGTTCACCAACTTTCCTGTGTTGAAACGCCTCAACAGAATGCTAGAGTTGAAAGAAAACATCAACATATTCTCCAAGTTGCTAGAACCCTTTTATTTCAATCATGTTTGCCCATTACTTTTTGGTCTGATTGTGTTCTTACTGCTGTGCATATTATAAATAGGCTTCCTACTACTATTTTGAATAATAAATCTCCTTATGAACTTTTATATAATAAAGTTCCTGATTATTCTCATTTAAGAGTTTTTGGTTCTCTTGTTTATGCTTCTACTCTCACTGCTGACAGATCTAAATTTGACACTAGGGTTGTTAAATGTGTTTTTATTGGTTATCCTTTAGGATCTAAAGGATACAAACTTTATGATATTATCAATCATAAATTTTTTGTTTCTAGAAATGTAAAATTTTATGAAATGACTTTTCCCTATAGAAAAGATTCTATTTCTTCTAAATGAGACAATCATCAATCTGATTCTGATTCTTTAATTCTTTCAAATTATGATTTTTCTGATTATAACATCTCAAATAAAAACAACACTTCTTCTGATATTTTTCTAGAAAATCAAATCAATGATGAACTTAATGTCTTAAATATGAATAATTCTACTCATAATAGTGATTCAAGTACATTACAGACTTCTAACATTCCTATAGATCCAGAAGATCATTCACAAAGAAAATCAACAAGGGTAAGATCTCTACCTATTCATCTACAGGATTACAGTTATGAATTACCTGATTCCATTACTACAGGTACTACTTCTCAGACTTCTTCTTTTTGCAATTTTATCAGATATCCTATTCAAAATCATATTACTGATAATAGATTAAGTATTTCCCATTCTTGTTTTACTGCTGCACTTTCTAACATTATTGAACCTAAAACTTTTAAACAAGCTTCTAAGTTTCCCGAATGACAGAAAGCTATGTCCTCTGAAATTGATGCTCTTGAGAAAAATAATACTTGGATTTTAGTTATTCTTCCTTCAAATCAAAATATAATAGGTTGCAAATGGGTTTACAAAACTAAATTGAAACCTGACGGCTCTTTAGATAGATATAAAGCTAGATTAGTTGCTAAAGGGTATACTCAAGAAGAAGGTTTTGATTATTTTGATACTTTTTCACCTGTTGTAAAATTAACAACTGTTAGAATCATTTTAGCTATTGCTAGTGCTAAACACTGGTTTTTACATCAACTTGATGTACATAATGCTTTTTTACATGGTGATCTAAATGAAGTTATTTACATGCAGCCACCTCCAGGTTATCTACCTGCTAATGACAAAAGAGTCTGTCAGCTTATTAAAAGTCTTTATGGACTTAAACAAGCATCAAGACAATGGTTTTGTAAACATTCTGATTCCCTTAAAACCTTTGGTTACATTCAATCTAAAGCAGATTCTTCTTTGTTTACTAAAACTGATAAATCTTATTTTACAGTTATCTTGGTTTATGTTGATGATATTATTCTAGCTGGCAACAGTATGGAAGAAATCTTTGCTGTAAAAACCTTTTTGCATAATAAGTTCACTATAAAGGATCTTAGAGAATTGAAATACATATTAGGCATAGAAATTGCTAGATCTGACAAAGGTATAAACCTATGTCAAAGGAAATATACTCTAGATATCTTAAAAGGTTATGGTTATCTAAACTGTAAACTTTCAAATACTCCTATGGATTCAAAAATTAAAATTTCAAAAGATAATGGTACTGTCCTTGATGACCCTAAAACATATAGAACCTTGATTGGCAAACTTCTTTATTTAACTATTACCAGATCTGACATTGCTTACAGTGTACCAGTTTTAAGTCAGTTTCTTGCTTATCCTACTGACATTCACATGAAAGAAGCTCATAGGATTCTTAGATATCTCAAAAACTCCCCAGGTAAAGGACTTTTCTATCCTTCTGATTCAGATTTTTCTATTCAAGGATATACTGATTCAGATTGGGCTGCTTGTGTTGATACTAGAAGAAGTGTTTCTGGTTATGCTTTTTATATTAGTAGTTCTTTAGTGTCTTGGAAATCTAAGAAACAACAGGTAGTTAGTAGATCTTCTACTGAGGCTGAATACAGGGCTTGTGCAAATGCTGTTTGTGAAGCTCAGTGGATTTATTACATTCTTAATGATCTACATATTCAGTTCACTTTACCTATCATTTTATATACTGATAACAAATCAACTTATCATCTTGCTCATAATCCTATTCAACATCAAAGAACTAAACATATTGAATTAGATTGTCATTTGATTAGAGATAAAATAGTTTATGGATTAATAAATTTAATTCATATTAAAAATAACTTTCAACTTCAGATATATATACAAAACCTCTTGGGAATCCATTATTTCATCAGTTTGCAGTCAAGATGAACATGCTGGATATACATGCTTCTCTTGAGGGGGCGTATCAAGAATAAAGCTTATTGGATCAAAGTGCTAGACTTAATGGACCTGTTTACATTTTTATTTTGTCATTGGGCCTTTCTATTATTTAGCCCATACGTATTAGTTATTATAGTATATAAGCCAGATGTAATATTTCATTTTGGTAGTTTTACGTTGAAACCCTAAGACTTTCTTTCTTCTTCCGCAATTAGCTCTCAAAGAAACCGTTTGTTCTTCATCTTCTTCTTCAAACCTTGTATGAAATCTTCAATAAAAGACATGAATGCTAATCAACCCAAATTAATTTTTGAATAGTAATTAAGAAATGTTTTTGTTTAGAGAATAGAAAGAGATGGGCTCATGTCTATAAAAAAAGAAAGAGATGGACTCCGTTGGAGACTGATATATAATTTTGATAGTCTATGCGTACACATCAGCCTCACGGGTTGTGCATTTAGATTAGATGCCCATTTTTTAATAGGTGAAATCGCATCCCTATTGGAGATGCTCCAGATAAAAACTGTTGTAGTCCGTATGTATTTCATGTGTTCCTTGTTTAGTGTTTTCAAGTTCAATTCTATAAAACAATTCAACTAGCTAGCTCACATTTGTCATGTTTGAATGTTGATGGACATGTTTGAAAAATAAAAATGAAAAAAGAAATAGAAAATGTAAAAAATATAAAATTAGCATGTAAGTTTTTAAAATGTAAAATACACAAATACATAAAACGAAAAATATAGATTTTGACATTCTTAAATTTTTACAGTTTTTATAAATATTTTACAAATTTCAACAAATTTCAGATTTTTTTCAAAAAACCCTACTAAAATGTGAAAGACGGGTTGAATGCTTGAGTTGATTTATTTTAGAAGTAAACAGGCTTATTAGAAGTAAACGGGCTTATATGATAGTTTTGTAATATAAGATATTATGACGGATTGAAAATAGTAGATGGATCTATTTGGACCTTTCCCTAAAATAATTAAAGAGTAATCCTACTAACGCCCATCAAATTACTATTTAAAGCCCCAAGCAAATTTTAATAAATACTCGTATAAATTTGATAGTCTATATTGCCTTAAATTTCAAAGCCCCCATTTTCATATGTAGATATGAGTAATGGACTGCTGATCATAGTGCTCATAGTGATTGCCCATAATTAAGAATTTTTGTTGGACTAGCCCGTTTTAAACAATTAAGTTCTAGGCCGAGCCCAACCCATCTTATTCCCTTCGGACCAAAGAAAGTAATCTGCTTTAAGATTTGAAGTCCTCCGGTCTCCGGCACCAAATCAAGTCCTCGGCACTCGCCCTAGCTTTGATCCTATGGCGAATCTGGATTCAGACATCAATATGATTCCGGCCGGCGAGGCATCTACCGGTGGTGAACCATCATCTTACGCTGCAACGGCTTCATCTTCAACGAAGAAAGCCAAGAAATTCGAGATAAAAAAATGGAACGCTGTTGCTCTTTGGGCTTGGGGTATCTCTACCGACTTTATTCTCTCTATATAGAAAATTTAGTAGGTTTAAGATCGCTAATACTATGATGGCGTGTAAGTGTATAGTTTACCTACCTTTAACCCGATGCGTGAGACATATGAGGGTATGGCTTCACAGCTTTATGTGCCGGATGTACATGCTTGAAAATGAATTGATATTTTATGTTTGTATCTCCGCACATATTTGATCATTTTAGACGGCTGAAAGGCAAATTATTTGCAAAAGATCTCTATATTCTGAGTATTTGGACAGTAAAGTGTAAACTCAGTAACCCTCTTAAAAGCTAGTTACTCTGTGAGTGGAAAATTTGAGACCAATGTATTTCCAAGAAAGTGTAGAAGATTTGGACTCTTGATGTTTAACTGTGTAGAGATTTACAGCTATGCCGTGCCTAGAACTGTCTGCAAGGTTGGTAGTATTTCATCGAGTGATCGGTGACTTAATTTATGTAGAAGAAGATTTGTTGTGCCGCACTCAAGTTTATGAGCGCATTTGCACTGTTGAAGTGTTGAGTAGCCGGTTTCTATTGGCTCTGTAATGGTTACTAATAGATCTCTCCAGAAAATACAACAATTACAGGAATTACTATCAAGAAACAACTGAAAATTCTTATTAAAGAAGATGAACAGTAACTAGGGCTGGGTCCGAAAAACCGAAAACCGAAAACCGAATCAAATTAAACCGAACCGCGACCAAATAAAACCGAACCGCTAAAAACCGAAACCGAATGTAAAAAACCGAACCGTAGTAGTTTGGTTCGGTTTTGTTTTTTACCCTTCAAAACCGAACCGAACTGAACAAACCGAACATAAATAAAATATGAAATTTTATTTGTTAAATTTAAGCATTAATCTTAATATCATCAATAATCTTTGAATTTCTTGTGCTAGAGAAATAATGTTTATGCTATGTTTAGTTTAGTTTATAAATGCATTTACACATTCATTGCCCATAATAATGTAGCTATATTGATCTATTATGTCTTTTATGTATGTATGTTGCAATTTGTTGCATGATTATATGTTTTTACTAGTTATTAGTAGTAATTAACTTTTATTTTTATGTAACTTAATTCTTTTTTGTAACTTAACTTTTTTATATTGATAAAACAAATAAATTTTCATCTCGGCTAAATCACACAGGGCGTATGTATTCATAAATGTTTTTCAAACTAGTCACAAACATTGTAAATTAAGAATAGATACACACTTTTATCTCTCCCGCATACTCATATAATTCAAGACATATTTGTTTATTATTATTTTCTTCATTTGTTCAAGTATGCTTGCATTTTTATGTAATATGTTTGATCCCTCCCACTTTTATATCAATTTTAAATTTAATGACAAATATTTAGTAAAAAACCGAAAAAATCGAAACCGGACCGAAACAAACCGAACCAATCAAACCGTGGTTTGAAGTTTTGGAGTGTAAAACCGAACCGAAACCGAACCGAACTTTTACTTTGGTTCTGTATTTGGTTTTAGGTCAAAAGTCAAAACCGAACCGAAAGAACCGAACCCACCCCTAACAGTAACAAAGGCCTAAGCCCCCCAAAGATAGAGACGACTAATCCCTAATCTTCCCAGTCCCAAGACAGAATGTCCAAAAGCCTACCTGACCTCTCCCAAACTATTCTATTTTTAGCCTCCTCGCTCAACTGAAAGTAGTTACTAGCTAATAACAGAAAACAACTACTAACCAACTAGTCTATTTATTTCTCTAGAATAGTCTTGACCTGATTCCTATCAATACTCCCCCCTAAACATCCACCTTGTCCTCAAGGTGGGAAGATAGGAACCAAGTCTGGAATTCAGCTTCCTCCTGGTGCCTCTCCCTTCCCAGTACCTTGCTGATGGCGATATCATACGTTCCCATACTTCTAGTCCTCTAGATGGAAAATCCTTGACCAGCCTTAGCAAAGCATTTGCCTCTGAATTCATCCTATCTCTTGAGTGAAACTTCACACTGAATAGCTCATACAGAACTTCATCCAACCTCATGTCAGAAGAAGTTTTAAGGGAACTTGAGTCATACTGTATTACTCTTTCTGAATTTAAGACTTCAACAATCTCCAATTGTATTCCCCCATCATGAACCCTAAGTAGCATTTGTTCCATTATATTGCACACCCTGCTGTCAACTTTAAGACTGGTTTTTTTTTCTTTGTATAATGCACCCATCAGCTGAAAATCAGAAAGCTCCAATGCAAAATCAAAAGAAGTAACAATTACCAAAGGGCCATAAGTCCAACGAAAGCCAGTGTTGTTCTGTACTTCTGTCCCAGGTAATTTCCTGGCATTCCAGAAGATCTTGCCATAGAATGGAACGGATCACCATAGAGATTCTTTGAAAATTTTGATGTATCAACAACTTCGCCTAGAGCTAGCTGGTAATTCTTAAGGGTCATTCTCTGTATTAACCTTGTGAAGAATTCAAAAACATCAGTAAAGGATAGAGCTGTCTTTCCCGAAATGTCTTCCAACATGAGATAACTTCCAGGTGCTTTAAATGAATCATGCAAGTCAAGCTGGGAGTAGCCTAACATGCTCTCAGCCCCTGGCTGCAATTCTGCTTCTAGTACTTCTGCATCTTGCATAAATGATCCCTCAGTTAAGTAATCCAATATTCTACCATACCCTGAAGACTTTGCCCACCTTACTTGTACCCATTTGGATACCTCAGCAGGTAAAGAACCTGCTAAGTCTTTGACATTTAAAGTTGCAAGTTGCAGTAAATTTCTGCCAAGGTGTTGGAAATGGCTAGGCTTGATAGCATCATGAATCTGTGGGTGGTTTCCCCAGATAATAGCAAATTCTCCTGAAACAATCTCAACCTCCTCCTCCTGAACCTCTGTACCAGTTCTCTTTTTACCAATGTATGAATTTTCTGGCCATTGGATAATCTGTCCTTGCTCCTCGGTTTCTTCCTTTTTATTCATTTTCTTGATTACAGATTCCGTTGGCTCCATGTCAGTCTTATTCATTGACTGGGGCAAATCTTTCGCAGGTGGAGAAACTTGAGAACTCATCAATCCTGATAGGGAAGAATCTGGCGACTGCGAGTTGGGGGCTTCTAAGTTCGACACGGTTTGTGAACATGAAAGAGCTGATGGCGATTGCAACGAACCTTTTCTTTTCGAATTTATGCAGCGACGCACACTCCTCGATCGTCCTCGCTGGTGACGTTGCCGCAGCTTGGTGCGCACTTCGTCCAACCCTGTCCTCGTTTCCTTGCTCTCGCACGCTTCTCCTTCTCCAGGTGTGAGCGCTTTTACTTTTCTAGGGTTGAGTGCTTCTCTTTCTCCACTTTTCCGCGCTCAACCTTTTCTGCGAGCTTCCCCAATTTTCCACGCGAATCCTCTCACGAGTGCGAAACAGTTCGCGACTTCTTCTGTGACTTGGTGAGCGACTGCGATGGACTCTGTTTATCAGAACGACGATGATGCCTGGTGTTGCTCGATCGCTGCAATCTACGATTTAGACGCTCATAGTCGTGCAAGATACTTTTCAACTTAGCGTTCATCTCCTTGGTCTGTCGATTCAGATTGTCAAATTTTTCTTCCATTTGCGGTGTCATATAGAATTCCTCCATCGTTCAGATGATTCAGATTCTCCGTCTCCAGGAAGTAACGTGCTCCAAAAGAAACAAAGAAGATGAACAGTAACAGTAACAAGAAACAACTGAAAATTCTTATTAAAGAAGATGAACAGTAACAGTAACAAAGGCCTAAGCCCCCCAAAGATAGAGATGGTTAATCCCTAATCTTCCCAGTCCCAAGATAGAATGTCCAAAAGCCTACCCGATCTCTCCCAAACTATTCTATTTATAGGCTTATAGCCTCCTCGCTCAACTGAAAGTAGTTACTAGCTAATAACAGAAAACAACTATTAACCAACTAGTCTATTTATTTCTCTAGAATAGTCTTGACCTGATTCCTATCAGTTACAGACTTTAGAAAGCAGGATCAGGGAGACCTGTTTGAAAATGCAATATTTTGCCCACTTCAGTGGGTTCCTTTGAGGACATGTGGGTTCTTTTGAGGACATGTAGCTCGCTGGACAGTCTTACATGTGTTGAGACACTAAATGTTTCAACCTCTGAACTTTGCATCAGATTGTGAAATGGTTGAAAAATCACAGTTAGACTAACAAGTCTCAGAGGACTTAATTTAGTTTTGGACTAGGATACAGAATTAGTGAACTCATTCAATACAACACATACAAAATATTTATACACATTGTAATATAGTGACTTTTTTTATTTTAGTTTTTAGCATAGTCAATTACTCTATTGTGGTTTCCCCCGTTTTGATACCCTCATTGGTTCCATTTGGAGACTATTCAATTGCTTGCATATGTTGATCCTTTTATATATTGAGTATATTATAGTGAGTATTTGTTTAAGATAGTTAAATTTTTTAAATACAAGTATATCTTAATGGATCCATGAAAAAGACCATATTCTACTGCTGAGTATACAGGATTGCACGTCACATTGTTTAACACGCAATGTGCATCATTTAATTTCATTTTTTTGTAGTTTGATGCAGTTGACTTTTTTATTGCAGACATTGTGGTGGACAACTGTGCTATCTGCAGGAACCATATCATGGATCTTTGTGAGTTTCAGATCCACTTCCCACTGACCAGAAAAGTTATCATTAGGTTAACCACCTGTCATAATATATTTCTTTTACTCAGGTATCGAGTGCCAAGCCAATCAAGCCAGTGCTACAAGTGAGGAGTGTACAGTTGCTTGGGGTATGTAGCTTGTTCAAAGTTGCAATTAAATGTGTTACTTTACCTTTTTATCATTTTGTACTTATGGGTTTCCTTAAAGTATTTTGCGTAAATTATGTTATGTTTCAGTTGAGTTTAGGTTGTGTTTGATGTGTCATAAGCTAGCGTATTTGTTACCTATTAGCTTCCTTTGGTTGGATGGCTTATTTTTTAAGCTAGAACTTATTAATAAATTTCTTGGGGTGGCTCTCCAAATAAGTTGATAAACTTTTTGCTTATAACTACCTTGTAACCCCCTTTATAAATTTTAAAGTCATTTAAAACATATGTTTTTTTATATTTCCAAACTAGCAGATTTGCTAATTTTTCAGCTATATGTTATGGAGTATAAGTTACTAATTAATTTGAAATATTTCAGCTGAGTAAACGGCTATCGGCTAGTTTAGTACTTGTGTTGCCAAATAGAATTTCGATCAAATTTGATGTTTTCTGATATCTTGTTACCGTTTAAATAGTGTTAACTCATTCAGGTCAATTAAAAAAAACTGTTGCTGGCAGATGTATTTTAGATCAGAGGCTAAAACGATAGCATTTAGATGTCATGTTTGGACAATTCCATGTTACATTATGACCATTCCTGCCCTAATATACCAGTCGGTTTTTCTTTTTATCCTTGCTGAACATTCCCTAAATTTCATTTCAAACGTGTGCTTCTACTGTAAAATGATGGGGTTTTCTAACATTAGAGGTTGAGATGACATGAAAATAATACGGAGTCTTTGATTTTATTTCTAGTTACTTGCAAATATTCCTTTTGATATGTAGCTGATCATGAAAATCAAACATTTGCACTTCAATAAGCACAAATTTTATGATTGTAGGGGTCTGCAACCATGCTTTCCACTTCCACTGCATCAGCCGTTGGCTCAAGACTCGTCAAGTATGCCCCTTGGGTAGGTCTTCTGCTGCTTACGATCTGGTTCTCGCAGAGTTATTCCCCAAGCCATCTAGATGGAATCTGGAGAATAAATCTGATTTCTCAATTTCATATGAATGGCTTGGGGAGTAAACTCTGGGGTGGTCACTCCACTGGATCGGACCCTATCTTTAAGCTTTGAGTAGAAGATTTTGTTTCCCAGACTCATGTTATTCTTGTTATTATTATTATTATTTGTGTTTCAGACAATAGCGAGTGGGAATTTCAGAAGTACGGTCACTAGAGCCATTTGGGGGTAGGTATCATGGTGAGATAGGGTGTTGCTCAACTGAAAAAAGCGTGCGCACAAACTTCCCCATATCTTGTTTCTGCAATCACGTCATAACCTTTGAACACAAGTACTAGATGTGCTGAATGATGTATTCGTAATTTCTGGTATATTCTTCTTTTACTTCTTGGAATCATGTGGATTCTATGCTCTTAGCGTATTCGTTTTCATTGTATATTGTTTAAAAGATTTCTCATATTTAGGTTCGGTATCAAGGCTCAAAAATATTTTCGTGTGGGTTCTGCATATTTAAATTTGAATTACTAAAATTAATATAATTGTTATTAGGAAAGGTTAATTTCGTTTTAAAAAAGAGGAAAGGTTAATTGAACTAAAATCATATGATCGGTTGTGGTTGCTTTGGGCCAGTTCTGTACTTATGACAATCAAAATACGGTCAAACATTTGTACCATACGGAGTAATAAATAATGAAACTTTTTATTTACCCGGTAAGGAATTCAAAATTTCGTTTCTGCTACAAATGGGAATATTTCTACCATGGTGCAAGGTACGCTAGTCGCTAGCAAGTACAAAACATTTGCAGACAAATTCTGTCTGAATGTAATCGTTAAAGGTTCTCATTCACTGGGGAGTGGGGATTATTGTTGATCTAACCAATGTAGTAGCACAGTAATGAAAGAATTGCGTGAAAAATCTGATTTTTGTGTAAGATTTATACAAGTGATTGTACATTTGTACACCATACTCGCATTTTATTACATATTTAAATATATACAATTTATTGCATATATAAATATATTTGTATATACTCCATATACTCTATATACTATGTAACATTTAAATTTGGTCCAAACTTTTAAAATCAAATGTTCCGGATTTTGTATTGAACTGGGCCGGAAAGGGAGTCACAAAAATCATTTGACTAAAGATCGGACCAATATGTAATTGGTTCGGGTCGGATTCGGTTTTGTGGTCTACTCCGGATTATGCCTAGATGAATATGCCATGCCCATATTTTGCACACCCTAGAGCATTATTTGACTCGATAAGGTTAGGCGACTCAAGCCTTTCTCGGCAACTGGTACTCCCACCATATCTTTTTGGTTCAAGGGTATGTTTGGTACAAGGAATATCAGATTATCATGAGAATGTTAGATTGCTGGGTATGTTATATTGATGGAAATGTGTTCAATTGATTCCCATTTGTGTTTGGTTAACATAAAGAGAACGTGTCATAATTTATTTGGTTGAAAGATATCTTATATTGCAGATATGATGAATTACTTTTATGCCCTTTAAATCTATAACTCTTATAACATAAATACCTTAAAAAATTAAATGTTAAGGCAAAAAAATATGCAAATAACAAGAATAGACATTCGAATATAATTAATACTCCGTCCGTCCCACCTAAAAGGTTGTTACACAATTTACGATGTTCGACTGACCATGAAACTAACCGATCTCTATCAATAACAAGATTATTTTTAGTAAATAAAATTTACATATTTAGACACTACATTAAAAGTTTTATAAAGTCACAAAAAATTAAATTTGATAACAGTTGAATATATAAATAAATTAAATGAAAAGAGATAAATGTTTAAAGGTATTTTAAGAAGAAAATTAGATCACCCCGGGAATGTGAGATAACCTAAGGCATGAATGGGTTTAACATTCCCATCCTTATAACATTCCCGGGAATGTAACTTTCCCAATTTTTCTTCAAACCCGTGAACCAAACAAGAGTATCTAACCTTCCGTGTATCACATTCCGGCCTTCATGTGAGATTACCCCCAACCAAACAGGCCCTTAGGGATATATTAGCCCGTGAGTGTGGGGCAAGAGTGACTCATTTATTTGGACTTGAGCTTATTGTCGGCCTCATTCCATTTTGGGCTAATGTACCAACACTTTCCTTTATCTAATTTTGGTCTTGAGTTACATTACCACAACTCCTAATTTGTGGCCATAAATGGACCAATTCATTTAAGTGTTGCCCCACTTAAATGAATTGCTCCATTTATGGCCACACATTAAGGGGTGGGGGTAAAAATGGGGTACATTTTGGGGTACCTTTAGCATTTGTGTAAAAAAAATGGAGTAGTACTCTTTCCATCCCAATTTAAGTTTTTCACTTGTCTCTATTAGGAAATAAGTAACATTTATAAATGATAATTTAGTTATCAAATACTAAAAATAATATATTCACAGGGTCATAGTATTAAAAATAATATATTCACACGGTCATAGTTATTGTCAATGACATCATTACTTCCCAAAAATATAATCAAATGCTTTTATTCAACTAATGTCTAAATAATTGTGTTTTAATAATAAATTTAAGTCATGAGAAATGTAATACCTAGTACTACCTCCGTCCTGGTCATTTCTTCCGGTTTTGACCAGTATCGCAAATTTAGGTAGTAGAAATAAAGTGAAAATGTATGGTTGTAGTTGTGTAAGAAAAAGATGAATGAATGTGAACCACATATTTTTTCCAAAAGTGGAAGTTGGAAGAATTAATTGGAACGGCCCAAAAAGGAAAGTTGGAAGAAATGACCGGGACGGAGGGAGTATTATTTTAATGCATTAATGTTATATGTGTATTCGTTCTATAAAACCCAGGAGGTAGTGTTAAAAGTAAGAGTTGTTATATAAATAAAGCACATTAAAAAAAGGATGACACCCCATCCCTGAGGACCCCTCAACCCCGACCGAACGATACGTTGAGATGATTTAATTGGACTATAATCCCAATCCGAAAAATAGAGAGTGGGACACTGTCTTCGGTACTTGCAGAGGCCCTATGCATATTTTAGCATAGTAACCTCTCATCGCTGTTGTCGAGATTCGAATAATTTTATTTTTTCTAAATTAATAATTTAAATAATTCAAATAGAACGTGTGGAGTGAGTGTTTTTAGTGACATCTTTTGCTTAAATGAAGCACTTAAAATCTACTCCGTAAAACTTTAAAGTAGAAGGAGAAGTGTTTTAAAATAACTATCAATTTTCACTTTTTTATTACATAATTTTTTTTTACAAAACGCTATCAATTTTTATCTTTTCCAAAATACTAGTTTTTTATTCAAACACTACTAACTTTTACTATTAAATATTTTCACAAATTAACTTTAAAAATCACTTATTAAAAGCAGAAACCATTGCAGACACTCTCTTGGGAGTGCGTATACCGTGCAACCGTATACCGGTACGGATTTATATTTTTTTTCCTTTTGTTTTTAAAAAATGGTAATAACATTTTTTATTTTTGATCCGATTTTTATAAAATTTATATCAACATTTTTTATTTTTCATGATCTTTCAAATGAGACCAATATTGGCTATGTAATTTTAACATATTAACATTTGCGTGTAAAATATGTAACTTTACGTGTTAAAATATGTAACTCACGTTCAGTCAGGCCAAATGCAACTCGTGTGTATAAATATGTATCTCTACGTGTAACAATATGTAACTTTACGTAAAAAAATATGTAACTCGCGTTCAGACAGGTCAAATGCAACTCGTGTGTATAAATATGTAACTCGCGTGTATAAATATGTAACTTTACGTGTAAAAATATGTAACTTTACGTGTAAATATATGTAAGTCGCGTTCAGGCATGTCAAATGCAACTCGTGATTATATATATGTAACTCGCTTTTAAAAAGATGTAACTTGCTTATAAAAAGATGTAACTTGCTTATAAAAAGATGTAACTTGCTTATAAAAAGATGTAACTCGCTCATAAAAAGATGTAACTCAATGTATTATCAAATGTAACTGAGGCCACTGATCCACTCCCAAACAGATTCGATCTTCTATTTCACAAACCTATCATCTCCCAAACAGATTCGATTTTCCTTATAATCCAATACTCATTAATATAATAGTTTGATAATTTCTTAAAATTACATAAGCAATATTGGTCTCATTTGAAAGATCATGAAAAATAAAAAATGTTGATATAAATTTTATAAAAATCGAATCAAAAATAAAAAAGTTATTATCATTTTTTAACAACAAAAGAAAAAAAAAAGGGGGGGGGGGGGGGGGCAAGCTGCGTCGTTTTGGAATAATTTTATCTATAGGAGTAAAACATGTTAAAAAGGCAAAAATATACCCTCTGTCCTATTTAAAGGTTCCCACTTTCTATTTTAAAAAACAATTAACACTTTTAAATGACAATGTAATCATCAAATACTAAAAAAATTCATTTATAAAATCACAATTATCATCAATAACTCATTATACTATATACTCATCAAAATTATTTTTCAAAATATACTCAAATTATCATCAATATTTTTTGTGCTTGCAAAAAATTACACATGCAGGAGGCTAGTTGGGCCTGCCACCAGACTTCTGTCGTCTGGACTCCATCGCCTCCGTCTGCCCGTCACCGCTGGGCTGCCACCAATACACAACCATAGTTGCGCTTGGGGAACTAATTAGGAGGATAATTATCTTACTATATCTATATATATAGTAAAACAGAAAAGTGTGGGGGAGATTTGGGCGGGAACACCGTAGCTAAGTGTAATGTAGAAAAGTTGGGCGGGTGGTGACAATTGATATTTGCAGTTAATTAGCTAAACAGAGAATTGATGTCCGGCTGTTTCCCAATATCAAGATAAAAAAAGCTTCATTGATTGAAACAACAAAAGAATAGAATACAAACCATTTAATGTAGGCGGCTAGCTATAGTTTATATTACAAAAAAATAAATGCTATGCTAGAACAACAATAAATAAATGCTGGAGCAAATGGACGAGCTTCTAATTGAGGTGCCTTTTAGAATTCCACTAAAATACAATTTTTAAGTGCCATTTATACTTCAAAAAAAATGGACCGAGCTTCCATGGAGGGGACTTTTAAAATCCCACTAATACACAATTTTTAAATGACAATTATTATACTCCATAAAAATTGGACCGAACTTCAAATTTAGGTGATCGACTTTTAGAATTCCACTATTTTCGAATATCAATTATACTTCATAAAATGTTGGACCGAGCTTCAAATAGAGGTGACTCTTGCAATTACCAAAAACATATTTTTTTTTCTTAATCCAAGATAGGACCATATAGTGTGTGTGTGTGTGTATAGCACACGGAACTATCATAGCAAGTAGCGACTCGGGCATCAATCCTAATCAATATTTGTGTAGAAATGGCGGCAATGTTCGGTTTGATTAGGGATATATGTCCTCAGTCAACAACATGGGGATTAAGGTTACGTCTGGTGCGCATGTACTATTCACGAAGTGAAGAAGGCGAAATAGGGAGTCTTGAGTGTGTGTTTCACGATAAAGAGGTAGGTGTTTATT